TGTCCAGCCCATCCATTTAGAGATGAAGGTGCCAGGACTCCTAAATACCAGTAAATGTTCTACAGCATCTCTTTCCTTCAAGCAAACCAGCATTGGGTAACACAAGATTGCAGGTGCTGTGTTCAGTTGGTTCAAACATTCAGTAAGGCCACAGGACAGTCCAGGCCTGAGCTCTCCCTCCACCTGGAGCTCCCACAACTGACATGACTGCAGCTGTCTGGGTCATCGTTCTGGGCCAAGCTCTTGTGGGGAAGAACACGCAGCTGAAAGCTGGGGGCTGGTTTCACAGGGACACAGTGACAAGAGAAGCTGAATGCTGAGGGGCACAGGAGTTCAGTGGGGCAGGGAGGGGCAGGGAACCAGGCAGTGGGATGGCCTGTCTTTATGTCAAAAAGTGAAGATGAGGCTCATTGCCATTGCTGTCAGGAGCAGCAACCAAGGGCCATGATCAGTGCAGTGGTGGCTTTACAGGGGTGTACAATGTCTGTGGGTGGATCCCCAGTAGTGCTGGTGGTGGGTGAGGAGGACAAGGTGCTGGGTCTTGGTAGCCCTTTGCCATACTGTGTCAAGGGCTGGCTGAGTTGAGGGGCTTACAAAGAGTGACAGCATCCCCTTAACTCCAGTGGCTGCCATGGAAAATGTAGATGTCATCAGGAAGGACTGCCAGGAGCTGACCATGCACTCCTGTGTTCAGCCCGTGAGACACTGCCAGGAGTAGCTGCCTGTCAGAGAAACACAAGTGGGACCTGAATTTGAAAGTGTTGAATTTAAATTAGTTCTACAGAGCAAATGCACAAAGCATGGAGAACAAGAGGAGTTTGAGATGTGTGCATACCTGCAGGGCTGTGAGTTCATTGGCATCATGGAGACATGGTGGGATGGCTCCAATGTCTGGAGTGTTGGAAAGATACAGGCTCTCGAGGAAGGAGACGCAGGGGAGGCAAGGAGGATGTATTGTCCTGTATGTCAGTGACCAGCTGGAGTGTCACGGATGGATGGATGGATGGATGGGGATGGATAAGGAACTGACCGAGAGCTTATGGGTCAGGATTAAAGGGAGGGCAGGGACAGGTGACATTATTGTGAGAATCTGCTACAGAAAATCAAGCAAATGAGGCCTTCTATAGCCAGATAGAAGTGGCCTCCTGTTCACAGTTCCTGGTCCTCATGGGGGACTTCAACCACCCTGACATCTGTTAGAGAGACAACACAGAAGGGCAAAAGCAATCCAGGAGGTTCCTGGAATGCACTGACAGTAATTTCCTCCTTCAAGTGATAGAGGAGCCAAGGAGGAGAGGTGCTATGCTGAACCTTGTTCTCACCAACAAGGAGGGTTGGTGGGGAATGTGAAGCTCAAGGGCAGCCATAGCTGCAGGGACCATGAAATGGTGGAGTTCAAGATCCTTAGGGCAGCAAGGAGAGTACAGAGCAAACTTACTGCCCTGGACTTCAGGAGAGCAGAATTTGGTCCCTTCAGGGATCTGCTTGGTAGAGTTACCATGGGATAAAGCTCTGGAGGAAAGAAGGGCCCAAGAAACCTGATCAAGGATCACCTCCTCCAAGTTCAGGACTGATGCATTCCAACAAAGAGGAATTCAGGAGGCCTGTGTGGATAAACAAGGAGTTCCAGGACAAGCTCAGACACTAAAAGGAAGCCTAGAGAGGATGGAAGCAAGCCAGGTAGCTTGGGAGGAATACAGAGGGGTGATCCAAGCCACCAGGGTTCAGGGTAAGGGAGCTAAAGCTCTGGTAGAATTAAACCTGGCAGGGGACATCAAGGACCACAGGAAAAGCTTCTGTAGAAAAGGTAGACTAGGAAAAATGAGGACCCCTCTCTGGAAGACCCCAGCATATGAAGAACATGGACCTGTTAGAGGGAGTCTAGAGGAGGGCCATGAGGTTGTTCAGTCTGGAGAACCGAAGGTTTTGGGAAGAAAAAGCAGCTTTCCAGTACTTGCAGGAGGCCTGCAAGAGAGCTGGAAAGGGACTTTTGACAAGGGCATGTAATGATAAGACAAGGAGGAATGGCTTTAAACTGAAAGAGGATTTACATTAGACGTTATGAAGAAATATTTTACTGCAAGGGTGATGAGGCACTAGAACAGGTTGCCCAGAGAAGTTGTGGATGTCCCATCCCTGGAAACGTTCAAGGACAGGTTGAATGAGGCTTTGAGCAACCTGGTTTAGTGAAAGGTGTCCCTGCCCACAGCAGCAGCGTAGAACTAGATGGTCATTAAGGTCCCTTCCAACCCCTAACCATTCTATGATTCTGTGAAAATCTGCACCCAAGGAGGGGCTGCCGAAGGAGGAAAGACCTCTAGCAACACTGCAGCTGTACTGCAGAGGATGATGCTAAGCAGACAGCAAACCCTGCACTGCTGTCCACAGCAGGGGACTTGAGAGCACACCAGTGTCTTTGTCTCCCTCCCCAGATACATTTCCACAGCTTCTGCTACACCCCTCAATAGATAGCACAGGCCTGAAACGTTACTCGCTATAACCCACATTTTAGATTAACCTGGAGTGTTTCATTGAAGGGAAGCAAGAAGTTTTGGCACATTTTGTTTTTATCAGCTATTTTCCCCACCTTTTCACATGCAATTCTTCAAAACCCAACAGTGCTATTGCTTAAAACAGAACCCTGTGAGATATAAGAGCTGTCCCCTGGCTGGGGGTACACATCCATCCCCACCAGTGCTCACAGCATCGCTAGGCTCCCCCAGCCCCAATTGCAAACTCCCAATGGCAAAGCTACAAGGAACAGGCAGCCAGCAACATGTGCTTCACCTTACACAGGTCGTGGTTGTAGTCAAGGGCTGTAGGATGCAGAATTTGAATCTAAACCACCTCTTTTTCATGTCACTAAATCCTGTTTCTAACAGAGGCAGGCAGCACCGCGTGGAGAGATGGGCAAGAAAAGGATAAAAAATGTCCACTCCCCTGTGCTCCCAGCCTCCAGGAGCACTTCTGAAGCAGACACAAACCATGCTGCTGCTTAGATTCCTGTAAGAATGTTCAGTTTGGACCAGATCCAAGCTCAAGCCCTGCACTAATAAGACTTTGCTGGCAGGCTAGTGAGTGCCCTTCTTGCACAGTCACATTGCAGCACTCCTGCCTGCAAGCAGCTTGGACCATGAACTAAAAAGCCACCATGAGATGAGAAACAGGGAAGCCACACAGGTTGTTAGAGGAGCTGTGTCAACCAGCTGTAGGCAGAGGCCTTGCTCTAACCTCATCATGGTACGATGGGGTTCCCTGGCTCTGTGCTCCCATCAGTCAGCCACAGACTGATCCAAATCATACACCAGAATGGGGGTGGTGTAAGCTCCCACCAAGCATGGCTCAAGGAAACTTCTGGTTGAAAGCAACTGCCAAGTCTAGCAAAGGAGACCTTTGGGTTTAACCAGACACCCAAGCTCCTGATCTCAGTTGAGGGCAGCTGTCAGCAGAGTGGTCAAGCAGCTTGAGATGAGGAAAAAGCAGTTCTGTGGCACAAACCCCAAATGGGACAATTCCTCAAAAAAGAAGGAACCCTTCACTTCTTTAATGCTGAAGAGCAGCATGTGTAAAGCGAAGCTGTCCTGACTATACCAGTGGACTGGAAACATGCCTCTCCTAGGACAATGCTCCCCTTCTTCCCACATGCCAGGACAGTGCTCAATCAGAATAAACCCCAATGGCCCTTAGCTTCTGGTGCCTATAATTCAGCAATGGCCCAAGAAACTTGGCCCCAGCTGCTGCAGAAACCCCACAGGAGAAAACATGTTTACTAGCGATACTGTACCTTCTTAAAACTGAGCTACTTTCTGCATGTCAAAATGAAGAACAGCCCATGGGAGGCAGGATGGAAATCCCCCTCTGGGGTTTCACAAGGGTGCTGTGAAACACACACAAATTCTTGCCTTTCCTGAGAATTCAGCTCCTCAGCAGTGGGGTTTGTGTTACCACCTCTCACACAGGGGGATCTGAGGCTCAGCACAAGAAACAGCTGAGGTGGGGCTGGCACAGGCAGTCAGCTTGAGGCTCACAGGCAGAAAAAAACCCTCCTGAAAAAAAATAGATCAGTTTTGCAATCAACAGGGGTGGAAAAGCAGGTGATGGAGGGAAGGAATCAAACAAGTTACACAGATACACTGCTTAAAGGCCGAAAGAGTATAATGCTACCCCTCAAGTGCCAGCTGAAACTCAGCTGAGCTGCAGCACTGTGACCATTCACACATTCAGAAACACCCATCTTCCATGTTTGGCACAACCATTTAATAGCAGAATTCAAAACTCAGTATATTTCATTTTAGCCTTAAGTGGAAAATCAGCGCAGGTGATAATCTAATTGTACAACAACATGTTAAAAAGAGTTTATTTTACATTATATACATTAGGGAACATATTTCAAAGCATTACCAATCACAACAATAATGCAGGCCATAAATCACTTTAATTTAGTTTGGTTTTAGTGTATATTATCACAATAAAATATAAAGAACATATACAAAAAAAGGAGTCAAATGTGTGCATTTTGCTTAAAACTTGGCATTTACATACTCCATTGGAAAATAGCAATCAAAAATACTTCTGATCAAAACTAAGTTCCCCGTGATGCGTAGTAACCATTGTACTGTTTGAATGAGGTAGTAACTAAATTATTTTGGCCATGTGTTAACATCCTAAAATCAAGAAAAGTGTGAAAATGGTTATAAGGCCAAAAAAAAAAAGTCAAAATGGCAACACCTTTGAGCCATTTCCACAATGTGGAATGTTGCTCTTTTCCACTGTGATATGAAACTATTTAGTAAGACAAACAGTAATACTAATTTTTATCATTGTATACACTAATAATTCAAACACCTATTGCAGAGTTACAGCCAGGTACCACTAGTCTGGGACTGACACCCATCCAAAAGGTATTGTTTTCAAGCATAGAGAAGTAATCATAAAGAAAGTTTTAATTAAATATAAAAATACAAGTGTTTAACTGGTTTGTTTCACAAAGAAAACTACCCAAGTAAACGAAAAAAAAAGGATCTTTTAAGCCCAAGTCATATCCACAAAGTCACAGCTTACCTTTGTGACTAAATACATCACATCTCAATACATTGTGCAAACATGAACACCAGTGTGTTGTATCGAAATTAAAACAAGATTGTAATCTGATTACAGCCTTGGTTACAATTTCTAATATTTATTTGTATTAGTAAATTACATATAATAAAATACAATAGTGTTGCTCAATGTACTATATTTGTTGCTAGTATCCCACTTTATCATAAACACATGAGACGTCCCTATAATAGTACCCCAATTTAATTTTGCATCCTCAGTGACTTTTACATCTGTACAGGTAAGACACTTGTACTTAACAGGAGGATCACTATCTACAGAAAGTCAGTGTAGGGCTTCAGCAAGAAGTTTTGCTGAAAAATACTGCATATGTACAAAGATTACATAACAGTAAATTAAGCACTTCTGTGGTATCATAATGCTTCTGTGTCCATATCACAAACAATTCTCATCTTCCTTTCATGCCACAATAAATTATAAAGTAACTGAAGTGGAGTTACTGCAGCTTTTGTGCAATTCCAGCCAGTCATGAGTGCTGCTGCAGCAGGAGTGTTCTCTTGTCACAGTGAGCTGCCTGCCACATGCTGTTCTCAGTAACTGTTCTCATGCCCTGCCAGGATGTATAAATTGCTGTTGGCTGTTGGGTTATCCGTCGGTCTACTCTCCAGCACCACAACCCTTAAATAAAAATTTAAAAAAGCTGCAATGTCAAGTAAGCCTTCATTTAAAAACAACCCTAGATATAGCTGTAAATATTTTTTCCCAGGATCCATCTGACCAGTCATCATTTCTCTCTCCCTGGATGCCTCTAGTCCAAAAGGTCACTCAAACCAAGGCCAACCTCAAAGCTAGCTCATGGTCTTGTCCACGCAAAGTCTCCAAGAATCTCCCACAGCCTCTCTGGGCTGCTGCTGCAGTGTTCATCCACCCTCACCATGATGTTTTCCCCTGTTTTATCCAGCTGGAACTTCCCTTGCTGCAATGTATCCCTGTTTCCTCTTGTCCTTTTAGTGGGGGCTCCTGGAGAGAGTTCACCACTCCCCTACTGCCCAGGCTTGTGCTTTCCTGAAGCTTTGCAAAGCTAACCTGTTAATCAGGCTCCAAGTTTTGGAAGTCATTCATCTGCCCTTTGCCACTGCAACGACAGATGAGCAAAGCTGACTCTTCTGTGAGCACTTCTAGTCTTTCCCTGAACCTAACACACAGAAACTCACTCCAGCTCTGAAAGTGACAGAAACAAAAAACTGCATGCCAAGAGAATCCTCAGGGAAAGGACTGCTATGTGCAGAGTCTTCCCTTTTACTCTTTTTCTTGCCACCTACTTTTGGCCAGCATTGGAAGCAGGAGGCTGGGTTAGCTGGACCTATACTACAACTGCAAAGACCATAAGGGATGTCCTAGATCAGACATTTCTCTTCAAAGGAAAAAAATTAGCAGACACAACTTTGCTTCACAAACTATTTGAGATTTTTAATCAGACAAGAACTGCTAAAACTGCTAAATGCACCAGGATGTTCACGACCGATTCTCCTCCACAAACACCCTGAAGTGAAGGCAGATTATGCGGAAACTCAAATCCATCTACTATGCATTCACACAGGAAAGTTTGCTTGCTTCAAAACTATGGTTCAGAAAACCTCCCCTCCACTCAACATGATCCACAAAGGGAATGACACTTCGTGCCATGAGGCAATTCCCTGCTCGCCAAGAGAAAGCGACATGCAAGCTTTTAATAGACTGACATCAGATTTTTGTCTTCTCAGAACCAAGTTCCTATGACCTGCCTAGGAAATTACGCGTTATTGGAAAATGGTTTCACAGCTCAAGTACAAAAAATGACAGAACTGTACAGAAAAAGAGTATCTGAAGAACCTGAAATTAATGTTTATTGCACTAATAGTCTTTTAACATCGTCTCAAAGACTATTAGTGCAAGCCAGAATAGAAGAGACCATATTTGGGGAAGAGAACATTATTTTTCCAAGACAATTATTTGCCATGTCATTCTAAGATGCCACATGAGTTTACTGTGAGTAGCATAAGACAGAGGCAATTCTCAAAAGAAAAATTAAAGCTACTCTTTGCACTTCATGTGAATTCATGACTGGTGAAACTATCACGTCAGCATGCATCCTCCTGAAGACAAAACAGCTGTTGGTTTTGTGGCTGTTACAGAAGTACAAAGTTCGACAACAAGGCAGAGAAAGTTGAGGAAGTCAGTGACACTCCTAAAATAGCAGTTACTGACTTAGCAAGCTGCTATCGGATAGGTCTCACAGACATGGTGTTGGTGTCCTACAAAGCAGATGCCCAGGAACAGCTACGCTGGGAGTTAAAGAGCTGTCATGTTGGGAGGACAACTGATAGAGTTTCTTTCTGAGGGTGAAAGTGTGATTTTTAAATTTTTAAGTATTTTTTTGCATTTGTCTCCAGAAGCAGATCTTGATGAGCTACTGCAAAAGAGCATCTGAAAGTAAAGATTTCACCAAGTTAAACAAAAGAACTATGGCACAAAAAGAAAACACTCGTGGAGACCGCAGCCAAATAAGAGCTTCTAGCATGGCTAAGTATTTCTGGAAGCCCACAAATACTTTTACTAAGATTTTTACTTTTTTCTATTTAAGAAAGAGAAGTAAACTCAATGGACTGGAAGGTACACAAACGCAAAGGAATATCTAAGATGGCTATAAAAGAACTTGCAAGAAACAAGCAAAAAAAACTTTTACAAGGTAGGAGGAACACACATTCTACTTTTAGCATGCCATGTTTATTTCTCTTCTTACCTGTCAGATCCCAGAAGCCTGAATATCCTTGTATTATCAGAAATTTCTTGTGTGATCTTGAAAATAAAAATAGGAATTTACATGTTAAGCATACAAGTGTTTTTATTTTGTTTTCAAAATCAGCCTAGAGGAAAGAAGTGACTGTGACTGATATTACCAATTGACTGCCAATTTAAATCTGGTAGAGAATTCAATGCAACTGTCACTTCTAAACGAGATGTAAAAGTTTTCTGTAATTCCTGCCACATTGTATGAATTCCTCCTGTAGCAATTGCAAGCACAACAGCAGGGCTCAGCACAGTACCTGAGCCACTGGTGCAATTTTCTTTACAGCCATGACTGAAACAGAGAGCTGCAGGGTGCAATTTGTCTCACTCTAGAGTGGATATCCAAAAATGGGTCAGGTAAATCACATATAAAACACATTTCATCGAAATTCTCGATTATAGTAATAATGCACTAAGTTCATATTCTGAAAACCTTAGCAGAGAGATGATCTAATTTGTGGTACTTAGGCCCATTGTGAAAAGAAAACATATCATTTGACATTTCAGACTACTGCAACAGCTTTGTTTTCCGTGGGTAAATTGTACTTATGTCATATATCTTTATGATCACATGAATACCAAAGCACCAAAACCCCCCATCATGTTAATCAATGATGTCAACCAAAGCCCACTGCATACTCCAAAGGATATCAAGTCACATCACAAACAGGTAGCACTGTTTACAAAGCTCCTTTTCTACACAGCCGAATTTCACAATCCTGAGAAAGCAGAGATTCTTTTTTCCTTCCGAGATCCTAATAACATTACCTGACTTAGTGGATTCACTTCTGGCACAGACAGCTTGCAAGAGAATTCTAATTCACAACAATGAAGTTCTCTGCTTTCCTAAGAAAATTAGTTCCTGCTTGCCATGAGGCTGAATCTGCAGAATCTTCGCCCAAATTTTGAGCACCTTATCTCAGAATTCACACAGCTCCCTGTTTCATTCTTCCCACTCAATCAAACCACTGTGGAAGGTCACAGGTATGGAAGGAAATAGCTTTGCATGCAGCTCAAGTCATTCCCAATTAGACCAACTCTATTAGATTAGGGAATCTGAACAAATGATGTCTTCTAATTAAAAAATGCTGCAAAGCTAGGTTGGTCAGATTTTTGTAGTATGTAGGAAGTGGGGGACATAGTATAAAATTCCCCGACAGTACCAAATATGGTCAAGACCTAAGCCTGGCAATGCAGGCTTTTCATACTACAGATGAAAACGGGTTTTTTTCAACAGCTGTGACTGGTAGGATTAAAAAAGACCCAAGAGCTTACCCTAGACATATTCTACAGAGAAGTTTTAGGTAGCTTGCTTTCTGTCAACAGCCCAGTTCTGCTTTCAGTTCTTCATTTAGGTGCTGGCTTTAGCTTGACAGTAACAAAGCAAGAAGCCCTGATGCTTTACATCAACAATATAAAGCATCTGCTTGCACTGCAGCACTCTGGGGCATGGCCTCTGCCAACTGGATCAGAATGGGTGGAGTAACACATAGAGCCCTGCGAAATGCTGTCAGGAGGAGTCTGGAACCTGAGAAGTGCCTAGCAGCAGCATCATTGCCTCCTCACAGTCAGTGCTAACAACAGGGAGCTGCAGCTCACCAGTGTGAATTCCCAGAAGGACAGTCGTGTCTGGGGAGCAAACATGCACAAATGCCACAAGAACCATTTGCACACTTGAAAGTTAGAAGTAGTATGACTCTAGTCTTTGGTTCAATTTCACACAAAGAGCAGGCCTACTGCCAGCACAGGTTACGTCAACTGGGGCTTTGTGCAAGTCAATGCAGTTGTGTAATAATGGGAAATATCTAAGCCTGGCATGGTGTGACTGTGCATGTACCTTAAAATACAATTAGTCATAATGAGCTCAATTTCTCAGCCAATGAGACAAGGATGTCTCATGGTGTCACACTGTCTTGGTGAACTCTGTAAACATCCATTAATACTCAAATTAAAAGACTCATTAAAATCCTACAAAACACAACATTTTCATAACACAAGGTTTGCAGCAAGAAAACAAAAGTATTTCAGAGGGTACTTATAAAGGTTTAACCCTGACTAAAAATCACATCAAACTGGCTGAAAAAAAACAATTTTAGAAAAAAAAAAAGTTCAGGTCAAACCAGTATTTTTCTCCTGAAAATGGAAAATTACTTTTTGTGAAAGCTGGGCACTAAAATTTTCAAAGTATTTGTAAACCAAGAGAACATGGAAGAGACTAAAAAACATCAGGCAACTCATTTGATGCTGTGACAAAGCTGAAGCTCAGAAGTGGATCCACTGTCAAAATCCAAATTTTGCTATCTACACGTAAGTGGCCAAGGGATTGACAGAGGCCTTCAAAGCAATTTAAGGTGAAGATTAATGCTTAGATATGTTCTATGGCATCCTGGCCTGGTCTCTTATTGCTTTCTGCTTTCTATGTTAGATGCGATGGGGCTATTGTATAGCTCCACTAATTAGTTTGTAGCTGATGAAACAAGCTTAGAATGAGACTCCAATTTCCAGGTCTAACCTAGGAAGTTACTGAAATGCTCACTATTTTTCAAGCAACAGAATTATGCATTTATCCTCTACCTGGTTTAGATTAGAAGCCAGAATTTGAAGCAAAATGCAGCACTCACCTCATTTGATCTAAAACTCCTTCCTTGCATGCCGTGTTTCCAGAACGCTAACACGCTGTCTTGTAGACAGACTGGTAACAAAGAACACTGGAATCAGTTTTGAGGCATAATGTGAACTTGTGCTTTTAAGGTCAAAAGCATATGACTGCAGTTTTGAAGTCTGTACATGTATGCTTTATTATATCACGTTCACTCACACAGACTGCAAAATGTCTCACGGGAATCACTGAACCTATCTCAGAAGTAGCCACATTTATATATTTACTTGATTAATGAGTGGAGTTTAAAATTATTTCCACCTAACCAGAGTATGTTCTAGATGTCTAGTCCTTTCTTTTGAACAGGAAATCCCTCTAATACTCACAGAAAATATATACTGAATTTTAGCAGACAAGTTACAGGGATACTGAATTTTCACTTTCCCAGCAACTACTGGCTAAAATAGTCTTTCGGCCAATAGCAATACAAAGCTTCACAGAGCCCCCTGCTTCCCAGCCCTTTCCACCAACATGGTGACAGAGACCTGCATTTGAATCCTATGAAAGGAAATGGGTCTAGGGCCTTCCTCAAAGATAGGACAAGAGTGCAGGACCCCAGGAAGAACCTACCTCTGGGCAGGTATGCAGGAAAAAGAGCAGTGGACTTTGGAGACACTACCAAGACAGAACAGGACGCTGGCAGCTCATTTGTGACAACCGGAGTGAGGACCACAGTACATGCAGAGCTTCTGCAATGAGCACCTTCAAGTACATGTACTCCTTCCTTCCCCCCATTCCTAACCATCAGAAGCCATAAAAGTAGTATTTTCTATAACAATGTTTTCTTGTCCTCTTCTCTGTCAGAGATTATCTTTGAAGTGCCTGAAACTTGAAAGCTTCTCCTCAGAAATAAACTCCCTCCAACTCCTTACTAGTTTAGTTCCCACTGCCCCTCCTCTTCTGGTACTACCCTCTGTCTGTGCATGCATCCCTCCTCACCCCTCTTTCTAAAGCATATGATGCAATGCAGGTATATAACCACTGGAGAATTGTCAAAATAATGTATTCTTTCTGTTTCACAAATTTAATTTATTCAGATTCTTCACAAGAAAACAAAATTTATGTAACCTGTGGCATCATAAAATTTAGTCCTTGAGCTGCTTTATAAAAATGGACTGTATAAACACACATGTAGAATGAGTTAGGCATGAGTGATTCCCAGTTTATGTAGGTTGTGTTAAGGTATTCCTTTAGAGGCTGAAGGTCTCATATTCCCAAGATGTTTAGCTTAATCAGGAAATGATCCAGTATTATTGCTCCATTCCAACTGCTCATAGGGAAGTATGTTACATAGTGTGCTGAACCTTTCACTGAGCCTTCTCACACAAAGTGAAGTGAGATAGCGTTTCAAATGCCAAAGACTAGACAGTTAGCATATCTAATTCTTTACTGTAACACTAAAGTTAATCACAGAACATCTCAAGTTGGAAGGGACCCATAAGGATCACTGAGTCCAACTCCTTGTTCCTCACAGAACTACCTAAAACTAAACCATATGACTAAGCGTTGCCCAGATGCTCCTTGAACTCTGACAGGCTTAGGTGGTATGACTTCTTCTCTGGGGAGCCTCTTCTAGTGGCCGCTCACCCTCTTGAGTGGAAAGCATTTTCCTGCAGCTTCATACCATTTCCATGTGTCCTCCACTGCTGATCACCAGAGAGGATATCAGCACCTCTCCCTCCACTGCCCATCTTGAGGAAGCTGTAGACTGTGATGTGATCACTCCTCAGCCTTCTCTTCTCTAGGCTGAAGAAAGTCAGCTGCTACTCCTAAGTCTTGCCTACAACACCTTTATCATTTAAGTCACCGTCCTCTGGACACACTAATAGTTTGATATCCTTTTTATATTGCAGCATCCAAAACTGCACAGCAGACTCGAGGTGAGGCCACACCAGCATAGAGAGCAACAATCACCTCCCTCAACCAGCTAGTGATGTTCTGGCCTGATGCACGCCAGGACGTGGCTGGCCCTTTCAGCTGCCAGTGCACACAGCTGACTGCTGATTGCTATCAATCCAAACCCCCAGATCTCTTTCCACAGGGCTGCTCTCCATCCTCTCATTTCCTAATTTGTACGTTTAACCAGGATTACCTCATCCCAGGTGCAGAATCCACCACTTGCTCTTGTTAAATTTCATACAGTTGGTGATTACACAGATCTCTAGTCTACACAGATATTCAACACTAATAATGAAATCCAACTTACCTATTGATTCAATCTGAAAGTCAAATGTGAGCTCTGATGACAGTTTGCGGCTGGATTTTAACCTGCCTTGCAGATTCACTATTTTTATACAGCCTAGACAATAAATAAGGATATGTTAACCAAGAATTAACTTAAACATATGAAGACAGACAGCATGCATGTGCATGCATACACATCTATTTAGTTGATACTCAAACTTACAATCCAAACACACCAAAATGGTATCTCTCTCCAGCTGCGTTACATGTACAACACTTGTTTCTGTAGTATCTATAAAAAAATGACAGTGTTAGGTCATAACATAAATTAGCATGAAATTTAACATGGAAGTTCTAGAGATTGAGACCATTTAATGGGTGTGTTTTTATCTACTTAAGATCATCATCTTATCAGTGACATTTCTCTTCTCTTAGAGAGAGGCATGTCCACTTATCCAACATGTTGACTGTGACAGGAAAAATGAAGCTCTAATATTAAAGTATGGACTTAATCCAGCCTTCTCTGAGCCAAGTCACAAAAACAAACTCACATGGTACACTGCTGTCCCTTCACTGTCTGTTGACGTAATTCAATATTGCTATTGCAAAAAAGGCAGATATATGTGACTGTCCACACTACGCTGCTTTTCTTCTGCCTTTATTTCTAAATCCTGCTAGGGACTTTTATATTACTACTTAATTCTTGCTGCTATTTGCAGACTTTCCATACCCAGATCTTCCAAGAATAGAGGACTATTTACTTCTCCAAACTCTTAAAAGAAGGGTTATTTTCTTCTCTTCTGATTTACAGCTGCAGCAGTCTCCATGACAGCGAATGGGGATTTGACCCACAAGTGATTAGTGGACACATCACCTCGAAAGAGAAATGATGTTTTGGTCCATTTGTTTGTTAACATTAAAACTACACAAAGAAGCTCCTACGAATTTAACAATACTGCCAGTGATTCTGTAGGCACCTTTCATATAGAAAAGAGAAACTCAGTAAATCCATTAGGGATGACAAATTAGAGCATGTAACCTAAAATACAAAAGCGGTTTTGGGTTAAATGATAAAATCCATGCTTCTGTTGAGAAGCCAAAACTCCTCAATGATGGCAGAAAAGTGCTCCTTGAGATGGTTCCTTCATCTCATTTTTTTATCTTGGAAGGTATAGTAAAGGTAGATACAGCCATGATGAAAGTGTGCAACAGAAAGACTGAAGGATAAACATCTGTGCAACCACACCTGTGATATGGAAACATGCACTGCACTGACTGAAGGGTGGCAGGGGATAAGACCCCCCAGAAAGTCTCTGTAGCTAATTTTTTTAAAATGTCTTTATCAGACATTTACAAAAAAAGTCACATGTCAAACAATTAATTTGATGGAAACTATTTGCGACCACGTAACAGGTTGCCCACAGCTGTGAATGCCCATCCCTGGAAGTGTTCAAGGCCAGGCTGGATGGAGCTCTGAGCAACCTGGTCTAGTGGAAGGTGCCCCTGCCCATAGGGGTCTTATATTCTTAAGGTCCCTTCCTACCCAAATGTTTCTATGATTGTATATAGTCCACACTCTCCTCCTTAAAAAAAAATAAATAAACCTGTTTGATTGTATTATCTCTCTCCTGCTGGCATGGGACAGGGATAAACCAATACAACAAAAGAGTTTGAACCGGAGTCAAAAAAATGGGAGAAAACAACATAGACACAGCATAAGAACACACAAGGGATTCAAGGAAATTGTCAAAGTGTTTTTGGAAGGCACAATGCAATGATAAATTTTCCACATTAAAAAACCCGAAGAACTGAGAAGGGATTAGTATTCTTATATTTATGCATTGATGCAGCCAATATGTATCTCTTCAGCATGCTACTTCTATGGACTCTGCTATGAAGTCACACAGTTACATGTACGAGTGAAAATAAAATGCACTGTCTGAAGTAGTTAAGTGCATTAATTGGCCATCCACTGCTCCCTTGGGTTTTCATAACTAAGCTTTAAACCGTGTCAAAATCTGATGCAATTTTCAGCAGCAGGAAAGCCAGTGGGTATCTTCCTGGTGAAAACTGTTGTTCTTAGTAAATTCCACAGGTCACACTCAGCTGGATTAATACACACATGTATGCCAGCACAGGGCTATGTATGAATTCATTGTGGATCAACATGGGATCTACACCTAGTAAAAACAAAGCTATTCACTGCTTCTGAACCCACAAGCTATGACTAGGGTCTGTTCACTACTGTATCTAGGTTTAGGGGACAACCCTGCAACTCTAAAAAAGTAATTCTTAGCACACTTTCTTAAGAGAATTTCTGCTGTTGCTCAGATGGTGTCTCCTCACTCATGGTGCTAAGACCAGTGACAGGCAGGTATTTGGTCTCCTGCTACCAGTAGTTCTAATCCCTTATCCCTTTTGCTTTCCGTAAACACAGGGAGAATACTCTCTCTCAGCAGGAGGCTGAAAACACCACTTCTAACCATAGCGGCATACAGCAGGAGAGCCAAACCACACCTACAGAGATGCTGAAAGAAATTGCGAAGAACATAATTATACTAAGATCTCTTAAATAAACAGAAGTCATGGTGTCAGGGTAGAGTACCGAACAGCACAGTGGGTAATAAAATACAGCCTAACTTATGGACATGAAGGAAACCATAACTTCTTGAGATTTTCTGCATAGCAGAGGATGGAGCCATCCTCTGCTATACCAAAAACATCTCAAGAAATCCAATCAGTTCAACGAGTAGAAACATCAAAAAAAGGTGCACGTGCAAGCAGGTACAACCAGATAACCGTTTAAAAAGAGAACTTACGATGATCATTTAGTCTTAATGATTTAATCATTTGCTTCCCCAGAGAAAACCACTCTTTAGTTATTAAGCTACAATAGAAGAGCAAAGAACATTTCTGAATGTAATTACAACAGTACACAAACCTGTTTCCGTAAACCACGAAGAGGTAGAATTTGGGTTGACAGTCTCAAACTTCACCACCTGGTTGAAGTCTCTTCCTCTACTGACACCCACACAAACTAAAGGGAATTCCTGCTCAGGGACTACCAGCATTTCAAACAATCTCAGTGGACAAGGTACAGGAAAATCTATGTGCTAGATTAAGAAACAAAAATAGATATTAGAAGGAAAAACAAATGTAGTCACTATTAGATATTTTACATTAGATATCAGAGTTGCTATTAGGTAAACTGTATTGTAAATTTTATGCCATACATTTTATAACGTTATGTTTACATTTTCAGATAACAGGAACTGCTAAGTGCAAAAAGCCTGAGTTAGAGCATCTCATGCCAATTCAGTTAAAATAACTTTTTCACCATGTGTGTCCTGTGCAGCTGCCCACAGATGACAAGAGCGTCTATCACTGCTCACCCTGGCTACCAAACCTCTGAGCCTTCTCTTGCAGGCTCGATCAAGTTATAGCAGCTGCCGTTCTACAAACCTGAGTCCACCCGGGCTCCATCTCTTCGGGTGGTGTCAGACAGGAAGAAAACAAGCATTTCTGGGCACCTCCAGTGTCACAAAACATAGAATAAGTGGCCACCTTCTCTCTGGCATGGGAGCAAGGCCACTGTTAACCCATGCTATCACTCCATTTTGCCATGTCTCAGGCTGTCAGCCAAAGTTTTCTATTGTGCAACTAAAGGGCAATGTTCATGGAGAGAAGGGCTTTGTTTTTCAGTTGAAGTGCACCACAGAAACAAGAATATTCTCATAAGTATTTTGAGTCAGTTAATACATATGACACATTTAAATACCTATTTTCAATATAATTTAACAGAAACCAAGAGAAAAGTCTAATAAATCAAAAAATGGATAAAACTTACTCTTAACAAGTTGTTACAAGATTACTAGAACTGAACCGAGAGTATTTCACCTTACTGTAAAATTACCTTGATTAACATAAATTTTTGCATTGGTTCAACCCATTCCAACAAAACAATGCTAGACTGTAGTGCTCCACAAAGGTACTTGTGGCCTGTGTAGGGATTCCTCACTGAAAAAAAAAGGACGGAGTATATTAGTGTACTAAGCACATACAAATTAGAAACAATTTCCAACTAAGTAACAGTGCATACAATTTTGGCAAATACTCAACACCCCCACTCTAATCTTTTGTATATGGAAGCTGCTGAAAAGTCAATATCTGCACTATGAAAATGGTGACAGTGAGCAAGGTGGAGCTTGGGCTGCCCTTCCACTGGGCCTGAACACCTAGTCACCAGTGCCAAAAAAGCCCTAACAAACAAGACTCTCAAGAGCACTGTGGTATGTTTTGCCTCTCCAACTCAAAATGAAGTTTAGTGTTGGGGTTTTTTTCCAGGTTGGTAGATGGGATTTACTATTTTAGACAGTCTTAAAAATAGTTGACTCCATACATATGTGAAGTGTGTTGGCTCTACTATGTTGGTTTGCCTAAGTGATCCCGAAATCATCACAAACAGCTGCTATAGAATGGCTTTTTCTATGACACACAGTTATCCAGCAGGCAGCAAACAATTGCTGTTAGTTGAGAACAGCTCAGCTGCCCTTCAAGCACTGCCACAGCAAGTCTGAAATCCAGGAGCTCTGTATTTCTGACGAACACTTCTAGATCATCAAGAAATTAAGTTGAAACTGAAGAACAAAGAAAAGCAGGAAGTGCTGCTCTTCCATGGTTTGCCAGAACTCAGTAAAAACTGGCAGAGAACAATGAAGTTACAAAACTGGGCACTATGAAATCTGAAGTTTCACAACTTCACTTCTACAATATTGACAAAATTCCACTCCTTAAGCACAGCCAACATATTCATTAAGACAAACAAGTGTTACTTTACACTTTGTAGAAATAGATCTAAAGACCAGATTTTAGTGTGCAGTCAAGTGACTGTGAGCCATCGGGAAACTAACAACACAGTTCAGATAACAAGCTTCTACAATCTATCTACCTAACTGAAACACACTCATGCTACCTCACTGCTACAGGAACCTGCCAGCAAACCCTTGGCACCTAAAACATCAACACTTCATGTCATTAATCAAAGTTCCCACTCAACATCAGGCAGACTGCAAACTGCAGCAAATAATGCTTGGTGTGACCCTTCCTGAGGCTGAACTCAGCAGCAGAAATCACAAAACATGCAATTACCAACACTTGTAAGGTGCAGAAAAAAAGACCAGAAGTTCTTGTCTTTTTCTTCCTCCTGTGGCACTCCTGCTTGCCCGAGGCCAAAAGCAGACTCATGCTGTCAGCA